CCCCCCCCCCCCCCATCACCGGCCATAGACAATGAGATGGACCGCAAGCGCAAGTACTCAAAGGACGACATCGACGCTGGACAGGCCCTCATTCGGACCTTCCTCGATGGCGTGGCCGGCCTGCCGGCGGACCTCCTTCACCAGGCGGACGCCAGCCCGGCCGGGTTGCCCGGTGACACGCCCCCGCTGCCGGAGGGCACGAACCACTCGCACGACGCCGCCCGGCGGGAACTTGTCGGCCGGCTTGCCGCCCTCTCGGAGCCGATCACCGCCAGCGACAACCCTTATGTGAAGGACATCCTGCACACCCTCTGATGTGGGAGGAAGGCAAAAATGGGGCGAGGAGAACAAGCTCGAGGAGCTGGCCCTCCGCCGCGACCACCACCACCACCACCAGTGCCTCTGGCAAAATGCCTTTGATGCCTCCGTGTTACCGATTGCCTGTGCCGCAATGGCGCGCCACCACCAAATAGATCCCTGCCTCCCTGGCGCGTGATTGTCCATGTGACTGTCTCCTTGGACGTGAGCACGCATGTGATGTGCCCTCTCCCTGTCGCACGTGTGATTCGTTTGACGATCTGCCCTTTTCTCTGGGTTTTCTTGGGCAGCATGAAATAATGGTCCCGACTCGGCCGACCAGCTGGGAGACAGATGGTGGGGGCCGGGGTCCTCCTGCCCCGTCTACCAACCAGCCTCTCCCTGTTGGAAAAACTGGATGTGTGTGTGTGTGTGTGTGTGCAAGGGGGGTTCAACCATTCCCGACTGCCCCTCGCCGCTCCGCGGTCCGGGGGAGGGGGGGAAACGTAAACAACAGAAACATGCCACCACCCGGCCCCTGGCAGGGTAGTGGTTAGGCACTGGGGGCGCGGCCGATGGGCGGCGGACTGCCCCTCACATCCATCCAGCGATTCCTGGCCGGCGAGGCACGCCGTGGACCCTTCGCCTCTCCACGCCTCTCAGGGCACCGCGCGACTGCCTCTCGGGCAGATTTCCGCCGATCGCCCGAAGAGGAGCCGGGGCGCTGCGCGTTGCCTGCGCAGTCTGCGCACCCCTCCACTCCCCTTTTCACCCCCCCCCCCCCCCCCCCGCCCGTTTGACCCGCGCCTCGCTCGTTCCTCTCTTTTCCCTCCTTCCTCCCCCCCCCCTCCTCCCTGCACGACAAGCACTCGTAAGCACACAAACGCCAGACACACATATACACATCCACACACCCGTGGTGTCCCCTCTCAGCCATGTCCCTTGAAGCCGCCCCTGTGGCCGGCGCTGGCACCAAGAAAAAGTCCAGGAAGAAGCAGGCGGCGTCCTCTCGCCCGACGGTTGTCGACATCGACTCGCTGCCGGTGGTGTCATCGGAATCTCTGGCCGAGCGGCCGGACGATGTTGCCTCGCTGCTGAGTGTCCTGTCGGCCGGCGGGTCTACGGCTGACGAAGACGCCATCGACTCGACGGGGGCCGAGAACCCCGAGCCGGACGCCCCCGACTCGGTGGAGGCCTCCCCGGCGGCCGAAGCTCCCCTCTCATCACTGCACATCTCGGCCCCGGCGTCTGTGCGCCCGCCTGGCAGCAGTCCCGGCCTGGGGTCCTCCCTGCCAGTATCCTCATCCATTTCGACCAGCGCCTCCTTTGAGCCCGTGGTTCCGGCCACGGCTGAGCCCAGTGCATCTATCTCAGCCGCCACCCAGTCACCGAGCGCCTCACCGACGCCGACCGTCACGGTGGCCGGCTTCGCGCCGGCTCTGCTAAGCGGGGCCCGATCCCTCCTGTCGCCGTGGACCACCGGTGGAGCCGCGGCCGGTGACGGTCCTGCTCCAGGGACTCCGGTCACGCCGGTGGCGCCGACCTCGTCCGGCTCCGGCTCCGGCTCCGGCCCCGGCTCCGCGACCACCCCCTCGCGCCCGGTGCCGGTGATGGCGGCGGCCGCGGCCGCGGCTGCCAGCTCCCCCTTCGGGGCGCTCTTCTCCAGCAGCCCCTCCTCTGCGACTCTGGACCCGGAAGACACGCCAGCTGCCCGGCAATTTGCCAAAACCCAAGAGCACATTCGCACTGGCATGGTGGCCGCCCTGCGTGAGGCCATGAAGCTGCTCATCGTCCACGTGTCGTATGTCCCATCGCCGCGCTCTCCCTCCCGCGGTTTTGCCGCGGTGCTCTGCTCGTCGACATCTTCCCACCCCTCCGCCCTCCTCGACTGCGGTCCTCGATTCCCTGCCTGTACTCACCACCACCCGCCCACCCTCAGCCATGGGGACGCCAGCGACGATAGCCTTATCGACACGGAGCTCGCGCTGCATGATGAATTTGAACCCCTCGATCGTGTGACCATGATCGTGGACCATATGCTGCAGCATGGCCTGCGTGGTGCGTGACTCCCCCCCCCCCCTCCCCCCTCCTCTGCCTGCATGCCCTCCCGCCACCTTGCCTCCTCCTGCCTTTTGCCCCGTCTCTAACGCCTGGCCGGGGCTCTCTCTCCCTCTCTCTCTCTCTCTGGCCTTGGCATGCCCTACAGAGCGTCGGTCTCTGCTCTCGTCGTTCCTTGGCGCGCCGGCCGCCGCATCTAGCGGCTCGCAGCTGTCACTGCTCCGGCCGACGCCGGTTGGCCATGAAACCGCACATGTGCAGATGGCCGCCGCCACCGGGACCTTCTACTGGGACACGGTGATTGCTGGCGTCTTGGCCAAGAAGGACGCCTCGGTGGCTCGGTCGATCGATCCGATCCGCGACCTGGCCGAGTCCGGGCTTCTGACTCCCCGGCTTCGGGGCCGCGCCTGGGTCAAGATTGCCCTCATGGAGAAGCGCCTGAGTGATTACCTTGCCGAGCTGGCTTCCGACCACGAGACCCTAGCAAACTTCTATGCGCCACATGCGCTCCTGCGTGCCAGTGGTGGGGACACCTTTGCCTATGAGGTGGTCGGCCTGCTGCAAGGCCTGGACACCTTCGACATTTCGGCCGACATCCGGGCCCTGCTGGACAAGGAGACCGACCAGGAAGGCGGCTCGGACCGCGGCATCCTGCCCACCTGCTATGCCAACTACCTGTACCCGAATCCGCTGCCACACACCCAATCGCCGAGGGCCCTGGCTGGGGCGGTGCCTGTCCCGGCCCTCGAGGCGAAGGAGGGTGCGGATGCGGCTCCCGAGGCGGAAACCCCGGTCGACAGCATGCCTGCTGCCGGGACGAATGACACTTCGGATGCAAGCTCGGCCGCGGCTTCGGCTGGGTCAGCCGCTGCGGCCGCCGAAAGCGCGGCTGCCTCGGCCAACGCCGCTGCCCGTCGTCAGCATGAGTCCCTGGCGTCGCAGAAGACCTTCCTCGAGCTGCAGCTCAAGATGCTTCAGGTGCGCGCACACACGCGCGCATGACACCGACCCTTGATTTGGCCGGTTGGCGGATTCTTTTTGGTGCCTCCGCTGGGCTGAGATTGTCGACCTGAGGGAGGGGGGGGGGGGGGGCGGCCCTGCCCGTGTCTCTGTCCTGACCATCGCCACCTGCTCCTCTCTCTCTCTCTCTCCTTCTCCCCCTCTCTGCCTTCCGGGTGCAGAGTAAGCACGAGGCCGTCCTCAGCCAATTGAAGGCCACCGAGCAGCAGATCATCCAGCTTCAAACGGCGCAAACCACCCTGAAGGGTCAGCTCGACACCCAGACCGAGACAAATGCCCAGCTTCAGGGCCAGCTGGAGGTTCGTCCATCACACGACTGCCTGTTGGTCGCTTCCTGTTGGTCGCTTCTTCTTCTTTTTTTTCCTCATCCCTCAAGTCCATACATATAGGCATGGCACATTCCAGGGAAACACCGCCTGGATCATCGATTGACATCCATTCCCCGGGTCCCCTCCGTCGACAGTCTCTCCGGCAGAACATTGCCGAGGAGCGGGCGCACGCCCAGAAGGTCAAGCAGGACCTGAACGAGCTTTACCAGGCGGTGCGTGTGGCGCTTTGTTCCCTGGCCCCCCTCCTGTCGCATGCGTCGAGGACGCGGGTCTACATGCTGCTGCCTGCCCTCCTGACACTTCTCTTGCATTCTTGTCCTATCAGGAGATCCGCACTCGCCAGCAACTCGAGAAGACGGTCGCCGATCTGCAGGGATCGCTGGCCCAGCTCAATGCGCACGTTGAGAAGCTGCAGGTGCGTCGCCACTATTCCTTCCTGTCTGCCTCCCCTGCCTCCCTGCTTCGCTTTCTCTTTTTCTCTTTCCCCCGGGGCGTCTCCTAACACCTGTGAGGGGATGAAATCCCCCCATCCGCGTCGACCCAGGCCGACCACAAACAGCGCATCATCGAGTATGACCAGGAGATCTGCAATTCGAATCGGGCGAACGTCGAAATCTCGGCCAGGGCGGCCGATCTCGAGGTGTCAGTCGGCACACTGACCGCCGAGAACGAAACCGTGCGTCAACCCGGCTCTCATCGGCTTGCCGCTCTTTCCTTCTCCCCTCTTCGTCCTGCTCCTCTACGTGCTTCTCGGATGTCACCGCGCCGCTGTGCGCATCGGAGGTGCTACCACGCGCAGCGCGCCTGACACTGACTCGACTGAACGGTGACGCTCGTGTCTGTCTATCCCAATGCGAATGGGTGCCGGTGTCCTTCAGCTTTCGCGCGATTTGGCGAAGGAAAAAACCCGGACCCGATCCTTGCAGGCCGAGCGTGCCCATTGGCCGGCCCTGGCCGAGTCGCTGGGAGCCCTGGTGCAAACTCTCAATGCGGCTGGCCAGTGCCCCAAGACGTCGGCAACATCCCCGCAGCAGCAGGCGGCGCCGGCCACCGACACCGACAACCCCGATTCCCCGGTTGCCGCCGGGCCCGGCGGCGAGAGCGACGACGAGGAGGGCAACCGGCCGGCCAGCCAGGCCACTTTGACCCAGGCCTCCCGGTCGTCTCGTCGTGGACTGCCCACGTCGGCCCTGGTGGCCAAGTCTCGGGACCAGGTCCAGACGCACATCAGCACCCTGCAGACGGCCCTCGAGGATCGGACCACGGCCCTGGTCCGGTCGGCCGAGACCAACCGTACCCTGGAGCGGCGTGTCTTGGCCCTGGAGGGCGAGCTGTCGTCGGCTGGGCGGCAGGCCATTGCCGATGAGGCGGCCCTTTCGGCCGCCAAAAGTGAGACAACCCTCCTGCAGGAGCGTCTCGCCGAGATGGAGGCCCAGTTGGCGAAGGCCCGCAGTGACCTCGAAGCCTCAGCCCAGGCCATGGCCATGGTACGTCACGCCGGCATTCCGGCAGCGGTTCCCCCGACACTGGCGGCCCTACTTTGCATCTCCGTCTGTTGTGGCTCCCTCCTGCCTCGCCTTTTCTCTTTCTCACCCGGTCGTTGCTGTCGGTCTCCGTCTCTCGCGGATCCCTCTTTGCACCCTGACTCCCGGGCCTGTTCAACTGCCAGACCATGCAAACCAACCAGGAGCTCACGTCGCAGAACATGGCGCTTCAGGTGGAGGTCGGCCGGCTGGACGACAAGGTCAAGACGCTGTCCGGCGAGTGGCGCTGCGACACCACGGCCACCGAGTGCGGTCAATGTAAGACCGAGTTCAGCTTCCTCAAGAGCCGCAAGGTGCGCCGTCGGGGGGGGTGTGCCCAACGGGCAGTGTGTTGGCCTGTGGATGAGATGGCTATGCTTTTTTTTTCGCCCCCTCTTCCTCCTCCGCTCCGCCCATCTAACTTGAATTTGCCCTCTCTTCCCCTCGGCTGGTCCCCGCGCCCCATCCTGCCCTCCCTCGTACACAGCACCACTGCCGGCGGTGTGGCGGGATTTTCTGCTCGCGGTGCACCAAGAACAAGGCCAAGTTGCCGGCCTATCCCGGGCCGGAGCGCGTGTGTGACGACTGCTATGATTGCCTCATCAACCAGCGCAGCCAATTGGCCAACTAGATCCCCCCCCC